TAATCGTGAATGAAAAACATACATGGCCTTATCTGGATAGCTGAGGCCTCTTGACACGGCTCGTCCCAAATCCCCTAGTGGACCCGAAACGTGATGTACGCCGATGATAGACACTGACTAGATGTTAAATCTATTACCAAGGCTGACTATGGTTACTTCAAAAAATGTGTCAAAACTAAATGCTTATGGAAAACATAATGCGATGGGTCCAAAATATTTATTTCGTACTTCATCAATATGAATCATAACATTCAATATGTCGTGTGACTGTCACTTTGAAATCATTAGGTTCCTCTAGCTATAAAGAACCAATTGCTATATGTAGGAAAAATCATGGAAAAATATGAGTCGATAGCTCAGTAAGTGAAGAAGTTTGAAAATAAATATACTTTTTCATTTATAAATCTTTATCGAAAATTGAGTTTACATCATTTAACAGTCCAAAGTATAATAACGTATAATAATAGTCAAGATGTGAGACATCCACATAATAGTGAAATACATAATCTCATAGTCATGGTATAATCCTCAACTCAAGCTTATAATATCATCTCTTCACACTACATATAATCCACAAAAAATGTACCCTCTAACTGAAATATGTAATATGCTCATCGGGCTAAAAACTTTTGCCACGAGCCTTTCGCCTCCTTCATAAACGAAAGCAGGTCTCCAAGACCTCTAATAATTAATTTTAGAACACAGTCATGACCCCCCAGTGAATTATATATACACAATTAAGACCCCTTCATCCACAATCCAAGACCCCTCAATGTAGTATAGAACACGGTCAAAACACTTCAGTGAACTAGGAAAAATATATAATTATGGGTACTTTTCTAGTCGATCTGAATATCATGTCTCATATTCCAATTCACAAATGTACCATATACAATTTTTGAAATTTCACATGTATCACAGTAAAAGAAACTTACATGGTAATCATATAATTCATAAGTAATCCATGTATATCCTTCATGATTTCATATATATAAAAGAACTTTTCATAATAATCATGTAATTGTATAAGAAATTCATTTAATTGCACATAATTTAGTAATATACTTAATTTATAAATACTTTAAAATTATTTAAATTTTTTCCACTCACAAATCTATGGATAAATATCTGGTTAAATTGAAGAAACTTTTCAAGCTTTCACGTCACTATCTGAAATAATGTTATAATTACTCAAATTAAAACATGACAACTAAATTGATGTAAATCCACCGTGTAATTCTTCAACTCCCATATTTATTCTTGCATCTCTAATTCCCTAACTAGGAATGACAAAAACTCATACAACCCGATATACGTGGGCCCGCCCCGAATGGGCCGGGAATTACCCGTCTAACCAGGTACATGGAGCAAGTACGAGGCAACGATCATTGCCCTGAAACGGGTATGAAATGGGTACGGGAAACATAGTCCCCGTCCCGTTACCTTGGCCCATTTAATGTTAATTTCAAATTTAAGTTTTTATCAAACAAAAATAATATATTTATCATCATTTTTAAAGAGAATATAAGTTTTTTTTAACAAACTGGTAAAAAAGTAATAATATTTACTAATTAAAAACATGAAAAATAATAATAATGCCAAAAAATAAAATAAAATAAATAATAAAAAGAAAAAATAAACGGGGCTATAAATGGGGCAGGGGACCTGCCCCGCTCCGATCCCACACTGAACCCGTCCCGTCCCACTATAATCTGCTATCGGTATAAGATAAGATAACAAAAATACCCGACTAGACAGAGGTGAAAATGGTCGACCCGTCCCATACCAGCCCCATTGCCATCCATATCCCTAACTTATTTTCTCTTTGATTATTAGCAACCAATTAGCTTACACAATTAAATCCATTGGATTCCTCAATACTTTCTTTAAATCATTGCCTTCTACACTTACAACCCATATACATGATTTCATCCAATACCTAGACTCCAATATTTATCATTTAGTTTCATTCAAACTTATAAAATCTAAAATATTAATTATTTGACAAAAAAACACAAAAATCCCATAGTATTGAAATATGGCACCAATTTCTGTGTATTGGAAAGCGTCGTCGAATCTATTAACAGAAAATAGCACTTTCTGAGATTAATTTCAGAAATAGCACCAACACGTGAATTTGCGCGGAAATTAATTATAAATATCAAAATCTAACCCAAAATCATTTTACCACTCTAATACCTCATAAATCAAGTGTTTTATATCATATAAACACAATAAATTTAATATTGATGTAGACATAAAAAATAATAATAAATAAATATTGGCCCAATTAAATTGAAGTCTATTAAGGTCCATAAAACCCATAGGGCCATCTCACTTTTTAAATAAAAAAAAAAATATATATAATTACTCAATTATTTATTTTAATTAATATAATTAAGTATTACCAAAATTAGCATGAATTTTCTCCTACATATAGGACCAATGGTTCATAAGATAGGAAAATAAGCGAAAACCAACAAGAAGTGAAAGCATAGAAGGCAATCACGAAGTTTTGAAGAAATTCTAAAGCCGAAGGAAGAGAAGAAATCCTTTCAAATTAAAATTCGGTGAACCCCAAGAAGATCAAAATCTTTTTCAAATCAAACAGGTTCACGCAAAGTTCAAGAAGATCAAAGTCTTCTTCAAATTCAAGTTCAAGTCCAAGCCACGAAATTCAAGTGCCAAACAAGTCAAGTCTCAACAAATCAAATTTTCAACAAATTATCGAAGACCAGAATTCAAACCACATGGTCCCTCATCTTCAAATATTCAAATTATTAATCAGAGAATTTTTGCAATTTTGAAATTATAGGAAGGTTAACATCACTTGTATTTATCAAAAATACATTTTGTAACAATTTCTGTATTTTAATACACGAAATTCGTTGTACAATTGATACTCTAATTTACAAATCCATTTCACCTTTCATTTCTTTCAACACTAATATTATTATTTTTGTTTAATACCTCAAGCATATATCAATAATCATTAATTTTTGCTAAACCTTAAATTTGAGAAATTTTTCCATAAACTCGAAAATATAATTCAACATACTTACAGTTACCTCTAAATCAATGGAAAAGTTGGAGAAATGGATAATCAAAGCTTGAAAACCCACATTTCTTCTCCTTCTTCTTCAATTTTTTTTTTTTTTTTCTTTCACGTTTCTCGGTTCTTCTCCTCTGCTCTTTGTGCGTTATTTTTCCCCAAAATAAGGAATGCAAACGGGTCACTTATCCTTTAAGTGGTCAAGTGGATGACTATTGTATAATTACAAGTCAAGCCCCACTCTTTATAACATATAACCTATAGTCCTTTAGTTATATTAATAGAAAAATTAATCATTGAATTCTTATTTGGTATCATTTCTATACCCTTAGGTATTAGTAGTTACAAATTAAGTCCCATAAAATTATATGTTCAACCTAAGTCCTTATTTGACTTTAACTAAATAATTCTTTGACTTTCACTGCAAAAAAGAGAGTGGGATGTAACTCCTCTTGTCATAGGTATTAAATAATCATAAGCATTTATATTAATACCATTTTGTTACCCAAAATTTTACACAAGACTTGACATGTTTAGCTAGGTGAGATGGTTGTGATATAGAGTTGTCACATTAATCATTTACCATAGATTATGGAAGATCTCCCACTAAGCCTATAACAGCTCACCCCTCCAATGGGGCTTCGGTTCTCCATATGAGATCGACTTTAGCAAATGGGTTCGATCCTTCAAGGGGGTTCGGCTAGAGTTACCTTATAGAATGTTGTGGTGGGCCTAGGTTCAACGATGAAGTGGCCATAATTTGAGCCTTGTTGGCGAAGGCATAACAAATAGCATCTATAATCTTTTTTACCCCCAAAGCTTTCTAGATTTTTAGCTCTAATAGAAATTCACAAGGAGAGAGCATGATGAAATTCTGGTCAATGGCGATCAACGACAGCTTTGGGAGAATTTAGGTATAGGGTTTTCGTCTATATCTTGTTAGCACCAGGACAATATAACGAAGTGTCTCAATCCCTAAATTCTTATAGGATTCTACTAACTCCCTAATCACATTAGGATTAGTAAATCCCAACCCTCATGTGCCCGACAAAAAATTAATCTAGTTAGTTGGCTTTGGTCCATAATAATGTCTATAGTAATAACGAGTCTAGTCTATTGTTGAACCTAAGATACAAATAAATACAAATTTTAGTTGATTAGTAAGGATCTTTGTTATTTCAACGTCGGTAATAATAAGACATATATACAGTTGCATCAAAATAGTGAAATCTAGGAAAAATTAAAGGTCAATTCTTCTGTTCAGATCCTACTATTGTAATTCAAGAGTTAGGTAGTTGCGGCCTTTTTCCTAGTATAAATTTTTTATATATTGATTCACAATTAGGGGTGCATGCCAAACTCCCCCTATACACGTGAAGCTAGGAAAACCCACTTGTAAGTACAACACAAGTTACTGTTTTTCACTCTCTTGTGCCTTCTAAAATTCGTCCTAGAATGCCATCTATGACAGTTGATTAACATTGCCTAATGGCTATTTAAGGATATTTATACTCTGTTCTCCCACTGAAGAAATATGCTAAGGATTTTATCATTAGTACCCGGAGCTTACCGCCCCTCACATGGGGGTTGGGTCCCGTGCCCATATGTGAGGGATCGGGTCCCTCGCCCAATAAATGCGTGGAACCCACCCCCATGTGAGGGGCGGGTAACCCGAAGTGTAAAGCTCCGGGTACATGAAGCAAAATCCATATGCTAAACCCTTGTGACTTAGAGCCAGTACCCATTGGCCTCTTTGCTTGTTCACTCTCTTAAATAATTCGTGTGGTGAGTCACAATATACATTTGACAATATAATACAAAATAGAATTCTTCAACTAAAAGTAGGTTTGTCCGAGTTGGGCAATTAATGCCCATGGTGATGGCACATAAGTATATTTATAAAAGATTTTCAAGCATCCTTATATTTTAACAATCACAGAATTCCTAAATGGGTATATAGAAAATTAACGATGATAGATAGAGTGATTTTAACAAAAGTGACATAAATAAATGAAATGCAATGACCCTAAGAATATTTCACCCATTCAAAAATGATAATCTATTTATTATATATAATGAAGTTCACAAATCACAATTTGTAATTTTAAACATTAATATGGACATTTTAAATATTTGAGACATTTGACATTTCAGTGTTGTCTTTTCAGGAATTATTCCCGATGGAATGGGAAACTTATCAGTTCTTTACGCGTTAGATTTGCGTTTTAACAACTTGACAGGTACGTATTTACCCTTTGGTATTTCATTTTTTTTTTCATTAAATAAATTTCATCGTGATGCATTAACAAAAGGAAGTTGCAGGTAATATTCCACATTCTTTTGGAAAAATGTCACATTTGAAGAGTTTCACTATTCGTAACAACAATATTCAAGGGCAGATCCCACCAGAATTGGGACATCTATTGAATTTAAAGGAGATTATTTTTTCCTCTAATAAGCTCGAGGGTGAAATACCAGAATCCATCTTCAATCTCTCCAAGTTACAACTACTTGCACTAGTAGATAATGACATCTCGGGTACACTTCCATCATCAATAGCATATTGTCTCCCTGATCTTGAGTATCTCTATCTTGCAATTAATAGAATAAGTGGAGATATCCCTCATTACATTTCAAATTTTTCTAAACTTGCTAAACTGGAACTTGGTAACAACTCTTTCAGTGGATCAGTACCCATGAATCTTGGGAATTTGCAAAACCTCCGATATCTAAGCATAGCATATAACAAGTTGACAAATGATCCTTCAGTGCAGGAATTAGATTTCCTTATTTCGTTGAATAATTGCAAGATGTTGAAGACCATACAGATAGGATACAATTATTTTGACGGAATGCTTCCTAAAGCAGTGGGTAATATGTCGACGTCTCTTGAGAAATTCTATGCTCCTTCTTGTGGCATCAAGGGCCTGATTCCTAGTGAAATTGGCAATCTCAGCAATTTGATCTGGTTGGAAATGGGAGGCAATGAGTTGACAGGTAAAATTCCTGATACGTTGAGTCAATTGAAGAAGGTACAAAAGTTGAGTCTTAATGACAATAAACTAGGAGGGACAATACCTGTCAACCTTTGCGGTTTGGTAAATATGTATCACCTAGATTTAGGGAATAATAATCTCTCTACACATCTACCAACTTGTTTAGGTGATCTTACTTCTTTACAAGAATTAAATTTATCTTACAACTCATTGTCTTCCACTGTCCCATCCAAACTGTGGACTAACCGGGAAATTCAAATAATGGATTTGTCATATAATTTGTTCTTTGGCACTCTAGCTTTAGAAATTGGCAGTGCGAAGGAGATGAGAGAGTTACATTTATCAGGAAATCAGTTCTCAGGCTGGATTCCAAGCACTGTTGGGAAACTTCAGGGGTTGGAAATTTTAACATTGTCAAACAATCAATTATATGGTCTTATACCTGATTCATTTGCAAATTTGATAGCAATGCAAAGTTTGGACCTGTCCAAGAACAATCTCTATGGTGTAATCCCCAAGTCAATGGAGAAACTTAAGGACCTTGTTTATTTCAACGTTTCCTTCAATGAACTCAGTGGTGAAATTCCAAATGAAGGGCCTTTTAAGAACCTAACAGCTTATTCTTTCATGGGAAATGATGAATTATGTGGAGCATCTCAATTCAAGGTCAAGCCATGCAAAGGTAACACATCAAAATCGTCAAGCAAGACCAAATTTTTGAAATACATTTTACCACCAAGTGCCTTGGCAGCAGGTCTAGTAATTATAATGGTGTGGTTGTTGAGTCGCCATAATAGAAATGCAACTCTTCGAGATCAGTCTAGTTTCCCTATTACTATTAAGAGAATTTCATATTTTGATATTCTTCGCTCTACTAATAACTTTGACGAAGAGAATCTTATTAGTAGAGGAAGTATCAGTTCAGTATACAAGGGAATATTTTCTGATGGAATGATTGCTGCTATTAAGGTTTTCAATTTAGATATGGAAGGCACAAACAAGAGCTTTGATACTGAGTGCAACTTATTGTGCAACATTCGTCACAGAAATGTTGTCAAAGTAATTAGCAGTTGCTGTAATCTTGATCTTAAAGCCTTGGTGTTGGAATATATGCCTAAAGGAAACCTTAACAGTTGGTTATACTCTTACGACTACTGCCTAAACATGGCTGAAAGATTGGAAATAATGACAAATGTGGCATCTGGATTGGAATATCTTCATCATGGGTATCCCTCCCCAATTGTACATTGTGATTTGAAGCCCAGCAACATACTTCTAGATGAAGATATGGTAGCCCATGTAGGTGACTTTGGCATTTCCAAGCTCTTTGCACAAGACCAGAGAATTTCACAGACCAATACTTTGGGTACCATTGGCTATATGGCACCAGGTAAACGGTTTGCTCAATTATTTATATAGAGTTATATATTAAATACATAATTGTTTATAGATTTCACGCATACAATATATGTTTTGCAAGCATCGCAGTAATTATTGCCTTTGTTCCATGAAAGATCAAGAAAATTAGGATAAACAGATGATTTAGCATTTTACTCTTCTGATCTTCTTCTTCTTCTTCTTCTTGTTACAAATCCATAGGAACATTTTTTCAAGTGTTCCCTTTCCCATTTACTTCGCTATATGTATATATTGATCGTTTCAAAAATATCACATGTTAATTTTAATAACAAATGTCAATTGTAGAATACGGATCAATGGGAATAATATCAACTATGGCAGATGTTTATAGCTATGGGATTGTGCTGATGGAAACTTTTACCAAAAAGAAGCCCACAGATGATATATTTGTCGGAGAGTTAACCATGAGAAGGTGGGTGCTTGAATTACACCAGAATGCAATAATGCAGATAATGGATGTGGATTTAGTGGATGGAGTTGAAGAGAATATTAAATCTAAAGAGATCTGCTTCAAATCGATCATGAGACTAGCATTGCAATGCACAACTAATTTGCCCGAGGAGAGGCTCAACATTGAATATGTTTTAATAAGGCTAAAGAAGATCAAAGTTGAATTTCTTTCTAACAGTATTGGAGAACAATACAACAAAAGGTCTATTACTAATTAATCACTAAGGAAATCAGAACATATTTCACTCTTAACCTCTTTCATTCTGAATATTGTAACTGCAGTTTGGCTTCAAATTCTGTGTTGCAGTGTGTTGTACCGAACGTGGTTTTAAATTTGTTCGATAATGTAGTAATTGTTTAATTTTCTTCACATTTTGTCGTGTGTTCGGGCATCTCTATTGAATTTAGCACTCATTCCGGAGCACTGGTTTGAAAATAAACTTTAGAAGCATTATCGAATTCTTCAAATCACATCATGCATTGACACCAATCACAGCATTCATTACCTATAGATGCTGCAGCTATTCAATCAATTGTAGTAGATAGAACCAAATACGAAGACTCACAAAACATGACCTTACAATTTGGTTTCTTCTTACTACAATCTTTAGTTTTCTTGTCACCAGCCACAGAACCAGTCTCGGCCACTTTCAACCTTTGACAATAGTGAAAGATCCTCTTCTACGTGACTCGATCACCACAGCTCCATCTTGTAGTTATTCAATTTGTGTAACTTGATCACAACTTTTATATCCCTTGCATGACTCTATCACTACCACAGCTCCACCTTGGTGCCGGTCCGTCACCATAACCCCACCTTAAAATTTAATTCATGAACTCTAATACCACTTGTTGGGAAAGCATCCCACCAAAAGTACTGTATACTTAAAAAAAAAAAAAAAAAACAAAAACCATGAAAACAAGTCAAAATGAGAAAAATATATATTTAATGTGGTTCGACAAATTGCCGACAACCAGATGATAAGAAGAATTTATTAGTTGAGATAGCCTCCCGATGCAATGTTTTCCTCGCCCTCACTACATCCTATACAAAGTTCAACAGTTGAAATACACCACAAACACGCATCATATCTTCTATTTTTTTTTCACTAATGTTTGGTGTACAGGGATTTTGTTTTACAGAACCCCTACCGATAGTCACAAAAAATGGGTCCCACACGGGACCCATTTGTATTAAAAAAAAAATTCCACACCCACCCACCCCGTGTATGTGATTGATCGGTACGGGTCGGTAAACCCGTTTATCTACGTGTATCATCACTTTTTTTTTTCCACTATTTCTAACAGTGTATCTGGTCTGGTGGAGGTCTTTGTCTCTTGCCGAATTCACGCCACACGTTGGCCGAACTTTTTTGTCGTCTCTTGAACAAACTTTTTTGGCTACCCCAAATTCTTTCTAGACTCGAAGAATTTAGCTGCACCATGAATCTTGGTACTAAGCACAGTAGACTCAGTGCCATGCATAATTACGAATTGAAGTTTATTCCCAATTATATTTAGGAGTCATTTTCTTCTTAAAAAATAATAATAATTCACTCAAAAACTAGTTGTTGAATTGGCACTTTAATTAAACTATTTTTTTCACGCCTAATTCTATTATACTAAGTGGAGTCAGTCTCAACATGTGGAAACGAACTTACCTTCTTTGCTCCTATGTGGACAAAATAAACTTGTGTAGAAGCATTCGAGTTTGTGGGGCGCGCTAAAATCGTGCTTTGGTGAGGGGCTTGAAGATATAATCCATAATATTTTCTATCGGGTCCCAACACAGGAGCTTCGTGAAAATTTCAAATTGAACACATGGGTCGAGGATGATCAGAAACCATGAGGGATGGTGGTGGTGCACAACATATCCAAATTGAAGGTCAGAGTGTTTTTCTCCTTGAGAATATGTCTAGTCAATTGCGCTTCAGTAGTTTAGAGCGAGTGATTCTTTATATCCCATAAGTGGAATAAAGTGACTCATTAACTCGCTTTTCTAGTTGTGTAGAGTTATCACCATTCTATAATTTTTATTTGGGCTGATTATCACTCTGTATGTGGTCTATGGGGATATGAATTAATGAACAAAATGCTTTTAATTTCAAATTTACAAAGCCGTGGTAATTGCATCCATGGCTTGCCTTGCCTTCGTGATCACGCTAGAAACCCTAGTGATGGTCCAATGTTCCAAGGAACTTAAACAAGTTAAACATATGCCAGATTTACTACTAGAAAAATAATTTTTGGAAGATATATATGTATGTAGACAAAAAATGGAAAGGGTGACAAAAAATCCAAATTTCCAATGAGTAAATCCAACATGGGCTTGTAATGATGGTTTCAATAGGCCTTGACCTATTCAAGATTTAAAATTTGTTCGAGTGAAATGAAAGTCAATTGTAGCTGTAGAATTTGTCGAGTATTGAAATTTTAATATTGGGCCACAAAAGAAACAAAATCATTTTTGCATGCAAAAGATTGATGGAAATAGCACTAAAATGAGGCATTTTACCATTCGTAGAATTATTTTCTCGTAAACTTTAAGTTTAGCTCCACAATTTCACCTTGTTTTCTATGGATTAAAATTAGATTTTTAGTAAATTTTGATAGAATTGGATGAAATGAGTGGTTGAAAAATTGTAATATTCATAAAATATGTGGTTAAAATTAATTGTTAATTTTAACTTAGATTAAAATCTTGATTTTAATTGATACAAAACATGAGCTTGAGATTTTAGCACAAGAGATTGAATTTCGTGTTCTTCCTTGCTCACAAGTCGACTTCCTTCAATTTTTCACCCTTCTCTTTGCCCCCACATTGAATTTCAACTCATGTCATGTGTTTGTACTGAAAGTATAGAAGTTTTACACCAAATATACAATATATATATATATATAAAAGGTTAGCCCGAGCTATAGTTAATATTAGGTATAATTGTTAAAACGATGTTTGTATAATTAACTATTCTTTTTCATTTTCTTATTGGCGATAATTAACAATTCATTAAATTATCTAGCCTCCCAGTAACCACGACAATAATTTTATTTTTTTGGGGCAAAACATCATCAACATCTTGGCTAAATTTTAGACCCAAGGGGATCAAGTGTACCCCAACCATGTTTTAGAAATACGAAAACGAAGTAGCCACCACTAGATTCTCGTCCAGGTCGCATGCCTAGACACTCGAACTCAACTTAGTGAGCCAAGCTAAATACGGCATAAGCGCTAGGTTCCCGATAGATTTTACAACTCTATTTCATAAATTTATGAGTGTAACGACATGAAATTCTAATTGTAATATCATTCAAATCCACATATTGATATCAAAAAATTAACAATCTTTATATACATAGTTGGGAACTTGTATATTTTGGATTGAGTGAAAGGACATTTACTTTATGGTGTTAATATGCACCTTTAAACATTCATGCATCTTACATATATTTGTTTCGTCAGCCGCATTTGCCTTTCTAGTCGAAATGACATTGTTATTTACGAGTGGGAAAGAATGTTATTATATTGTTCTTCTTCCTTTCTTTAGGGTCGAGTTCATTATTTTTAGCCTAAAAGACAGTGGGAGAGTCACATGGTCATCGCCCCCACAACATTTTTAAATTTTTCTTTACTCAACGGTATTCATGTAAAACAAATATTAATATACATCATAATTAATATTTTTAATTTTTGTCCCTCCAATAATTGTTCATTTTCTACATAAAAGTCCTGGCTCCATCACTACCTACGGTATCCACGCGTAACTTGCTCATAAATATATTATTATTCACAGATGCGGAGAACTAGGTTAACAAAAGGTTTCTCTCTCCCTAGAAAAGTTGGATTAAAGTTTAACTTGATTCAAACGGATTATGACTTTTTTTTGCCGATTCAAAAGTTAATTTAAACACTCCACGTGATCACTTAATTAATTATACCTAATTATTCATTTTAGCTTTTGGATATCTTCTAGATGCTAGAGAAAGAAGAGAGAGAGAAGCCATTCTTAAGAGGAAACGTAAATCTTTTTTAATTAAAAACAATATTAATGTAGAGTTTGACGCTATTCTCTACTTGTTAATTCATAAAAATTAGACAAGAAAATTTAAAGAGGTGGCACAAAGTGAGGTGATGTAAAGAGATGTAAACCTTACTTTCTCGCAACAAGTGAGATATCATCATAAGAATTATGATTTATGGGATCATCAACAAATTCCTACCAGTGATAGTAATATAGTACTACTGACCCCATTTTTCAAAATGACAACAATGGATGTTGGATCCAATCGTGTCCACACGAACAAATTTCAGCATGTTTTGATAGGAGATGCAGTCAGAGACTCACTACAGTAATGGATGTAGAAAATGCTCTACAACAAGAGACGAAAATGTTCGATCACCAACAATATGATTAAGATCGAGCGCAAAACAAAATAATCCATAATGGAAAACTTCATAGAAATATAAAGGGTTACAACACTCCAGTATGTAAAGTAGTAGACTTGTGATTTTATATATGTTCAATTTGCATGTATATTTTTCCTCTCTCTAAATGTTACAAAGAGCTTCTATTTGTAGTGTTCTAGTCGATGTGGTGACCATTGGAACAGAACCACATGGCTCCATCTCATTAGCTAAACTCTCACATCACTCTATCATACATTAAATGCATTGATAAAGGGTCAGTCGTCCTAAAATCTAAGCTAACATTTCTGACACTTACTAATACAAACATTACATCAATCATTTCTAACTGAGAATATTTACTACTTGTTAATTTTGAAAGAGCGTCAACGTGAAAATCAACTCGTTCGGATTAAAACCTTGGGTATTGTATTTCGATGGGTCAAAGACCTCTAAAGGTGCAGGAGTAGGAGTAGCACTAATTAATCCTTTAGGGATTTGCTACAAATTCGCATTCACCTTAGACAGAATGTGCACCAACAATCAAGCCGAGTACGAGGCCTTAATTGTAGGCCTAGCACTGATGATAGATATGGGAGTAAGAAACGTGATCGTTAAGGGCGATTCTCAATTGGTGATACATCAATTGATTGGTGATTTTAAATGCCAAAGTGACTCCATTATAAGTCAATATGAGATTGCCCAAGAATTTGATTCCATTATAAGTCAATATGAGATCGCCCAAGAATTATTAGAGGAATTCGATCAAGTAGAACTTCAATGCGTTAATAGGATATATAACGACGTGGCGAATGAGTTGGCCCAAATGGCTTCAGGGTACTCTAAAATCTTGGATTGGAAGTCTACTTGTGAATACGGAATCATATTGCCCGTAACTCAAAGAAGGGCGAGAAAAATTGAACTTCACTGTATACAAGATGGAGATGCAGTGGATTGGCGAACAGAGA